TCAGGATGGACCGTAGTCGTCAGCATTTAAACGGGAGATGGCCTATGCGAAGGGGTGGCCCATAGGTCTCAACAAACAACAGACTGATACTCAGAGATATGATACAACAGCACTTGTAGGAAATGCCAATGAAGTCGATGTCTGTATTCAAGGAATCAAGACAAGAGCTTTATTAGACACAGGAGCTACAGTCTCCACGATGAGTCAGGCATTTTATGATCAATATCTCTCCAGTATTCCTATCACCCCCATTACAAGTGTTTTGGATGTTGAATGTGCTGATGGACAGCCTCTTCCATATACAGGTTATATTCAGGTTGACCTTGAGGTCAATGGTATTGATGCTGAATCTCAGTCATGTCTTCTACTTGTAGTTCCTACTAGTAACTATAATTACAAGGTACCAGTTCTACTTGGCACCAATATATTATCTGTTTACTTGGGAACTTGTAGACATAAGCATGGTGAAAAGTTTCTTCAAGACGCGAACCTTCACACGCCTTGGTATTTAGCTTTTAGGTGTATGGTGCTACAGGAACGCGATCTTGTAAGAAGAAATTTTCAGCTGGGATTAGTCAAGTGCGCAGGAGTTAAGAAGGTTATCATCCCACCCAACTCAGACGTCACTATCTCGGGCTATATTGACAAGGCGCTTCCCTATCGCAGTACATGTGCTATATTGCAAAGTACTGGCCGTTCAGCTATCCCCGATGATCTTGACATCTCACCCAGTTTGATCACTTACAGAGAGAAAGGATTCGTGGATGTCAACATTTCCAACATTACCACAAGGACAGTAGTCATTCAACCTCATGCACTTCTTTATGAGATCCAGCCTGTCTTTGTTGAAGAACAGCCTACCTTGGAAGACAATTCTCAGGACAGCACTTCTCTCATTAATAAGATGGACATAGAATCTTCAAGAATTTCAACCACTCAGCATGAAGAGGGATTGAAAGTCATCTCAGACTATTTAGATATTTTCTCTCATGGTGACCTTGACCTTGGACACACTAGTACAGTGAAACATAGGATCGACCTCATTGATGAACGACCTTTCAAACAACGACATAGGAGAATTCCACCATCCATGCATAACGAAGTAAGAGATCATCTACATCAACTATTAGCTAGTGGAGTCATTCGTCGATCACGATCACCTTGGTCTTCTAATGTGGTGTTAGTACGCAAGAGGAATGGATCTTTGAGGATGTGCATTGATTTTAGACAGTTGAATCAAAGGACAGTTAAAGATTCATACGCTCTGCCACGGATTGAAGAGATGTTTGACACCCTCAGAGGATCCAGATTCTACTCCACAATGGATATGAAGAGTGGATATCACCATGTCGAATTAGAAGAACATCACAAGGAGAGAACAGCTTTTTCTGTGGGACCCCTTGGATTCTATGAATTCAACCGGATGCCCTTTGGTTTATGCAACAGTCCTGCCACTTATCAACGCCTCATGAATGACTGTTTTGAAGATATGCATCTCCAGATATGCCTTATCTACATGGATGATATCATCATCTTTGCTGATACATTTGAAGAACATCTTGACAGGTTGAAGAAGGTATTTCAGAGACTCAAAGACTGTGGATTCAAGCTTGCTCCAGATAAATGTAGTTTCTTCAAGGACAAGATCAAGTTTTTAGGTCATATCATTTCGGAACAAGGCATCGAACCAGATCCAGCTAAAGTTGAAAAGATAAAGTCTTGGCCCCCACCAAAGAATCCAACCGAAGTGAGACAGTTTCTTGGATTTGCAGGGTATTATCGGAGATTTGTGCAGAACTTTGCTGCAATCACCAAGCCCCTGTCAAGTCTTATGCCTCCACCAACGCAGACAAAGAGAACAAGAAAGAAATTGAGTCAACAACCATGGACATGGGGACCTGAGCAAGACAAGGCATTCCATTACTTAAAAGAACTTCTGGTTTCACCTCCTATTCTGGCCTATGCAGATTACAGTCTACCATTTGAGCTCCATACAGATGCCAGCACACATGGACTTGGCGCTGTTCTCTATCAAGAGCAGGGAGGACAGAGACGAGTGATTGCGTATGCTAGTAGAGGACTGAACAAAGCTGAGAAGAACTATTCTGCACATCGTCTAGAGTTTCTAGCTTTGAAGTGGGCAATAACTGAAAAGTTCAACGATTACCTCTATGGTACCAAGTTCAGAGTTTATACAGATAACAACCCGTTGACCTACATTCTCACTTCAGCAAAGCTTGATGCAACAGGACATCGGTGGTTAGCAGCCTTGGCAGCCTATGACTTTGACATCAAGTACCGCCCAGGGATTAACAATGCAGATGCAGATGCAGATGGTATGTCACGTTTACCAGGAATAACGACACGTGGAGACCAGGAGCATATGTCGGGCGAATCGGTAAAGGCTGTATGTAACATCATTCATGCCGAACCTTATGTGGAGAGTTTATGTATGCAGGCGGACGTTACCCACGAAGAGAACCTCGACACTATTGGTGTTCCTCTAGCAAGGATGTCACATAGGGACTGGAGGAAAGCGCAGTACCAAGATCCTATCTTACGACAATGGACAAGGTGTTTACAGTCTGGCAACAAACCAAGGAGACATGATTTCTGTGATTCCAATGCTCATTCAGCTTTGCTCAAGATCTCAAGTAATCTCCATCTTCAGCGGGGAATTATCTACAGAGAAGTAATAATCAACGGAGAAACTAGACAACAGTTGGTATTACCGGCAGACTACATTCAAGATGCATTAGAAGGTCTTCATAACAGCGTGGGTCATCCAGGAAGAGACAGAACCTTGGCACTCTTGAGAGACAGATTCTTCTGGCCAGGTATGTCTAAGGATGTTGATGACTGGATTAAGAATTGCAGAAGATGCATCTGTCGGAAGACTCCAACCAACCAGAGAGCTCCACTCATTGGAATTGAGACTACTCAGCCACTAGAGCTGGTGTCCATGGATTTCTTGGACCTTGAACCATGCAAGGGAGGGAAGCACAATGTGTTAGTTGTTACGGACCACTTCACTAGATATGCACAGGCATATGTTACCAACAACATGACAGCCAAAGTCACCGCTAAAGCCTTCTTTGACAACTTCATTGTTCATTATGGGATTCCACAGCGGATACACTCTGATCAAGGTGCTAACTTTGATGGGAATCTCATAAAGGAATTGTGCTTACTTACTGGCATGAAGAAGTCCAGAACCACACCATATCATCCCATGGGCAATGGCATGTGTGAGAGGTTCAATCGCACTTTATGTGACATGTTGGGAACCTTATCACCTGACCAGAAGAGTGATTGGAAATCACATATTGGGCCTCTTGTACATGCCTATAACTGCACAAGGCACGAGTCAACTGGACAGTCACCATTCTTTTTAATGTTTGGTAGAGAGCCACGTCTTCCTTTAGATCTTGCTTTTGGGCTAGAACTTGGGTTGACACAGTCACTTGCAGAGTATACCAGATTACTCAGGGAAAGATTGAAGAAATCTTATGAACTGGCTGTGGCGTCAGCTAAAACATCTCGAGAGAGGCAGAAGAAAGGCTACGACATTAGAGTGAGAGGAGCCACACCACAGACTGGAGACCGCGTTCTAGTGAAAATATTGGCATTTGATGGTAAACACAAGCTCTCAGATAAGTGGGAAGAAGATCCTTACATCATTCTGCAACAGCCCAATCAAGATGTGCCCGTCTTTGTAGTGCAGAAAGAGAATGGTGAAGGTCGACAGAGGACTTTACATAGGAATCTTCTCTTGCCCATTGGTGCTCTTCATGACCCTGGAGAGATTGAAATATCACATGAACCAGAGCCTATATCATCTAGACCTGTACCAAGGCCAAGACGGTCTAAGCCACAACCAAAACCAGAGACACTCCCAGATGAAGACATTAGTCAGGAAGACATCATTGTAGAGATCCACACTCCAAATAGAGATGCTGCAGCTGCTGGTATACCCACAGATACCAATCAGGAGGTTCCTGCAGATGTGGATACTGCTACTCAGGCAAGTGGTGACGATCATGAGGCTGAGGCAGCAGTGGAGAACATTTCTGGTGACGACGGTCACATCCCAGGAGAGGGAGAAACAGAGGTGTATCCTACTGATGATGAAGTGGATGAAGATGCTGGTGCTACTACTCCAGATCTACACGAAGATGATGTCATTCCTTCAGCTGAAGACGAAACTAAAGATGATGATACAGTTCTGGATCAAGTTCCTTCAGCTGAAGCAGAACATGTTGACGAAATGGATGTCACAGGTGATGCTGTTCCAGATACAGACGGAGCTGATGTTGTTCCACGAAGGTCAACACGTGAACGACACCCTCCAAGTTGGATGCATTCAGGGCAGTATGCGCTTAGTCAGGCAGCAGTAGAGCCAGATTGGATGGTTAGGGTTCGTTATCTGGAGCATTTAACGAGCGCTGGAACATTGGAACAGACTACACCGGACATCACGAAAGCATTTATATCTATTTTAACACGCCAAAACTCAGAATGACGAAGACGTCATTTCCGTGGGGAGGGAAGAATGTAGTAGTATGTAATTATGTATATATCATCAAGTGTATTTTAAGGTCACCTCTTATTTTAATACCTAAGTTTTAGTCTACACTCCAATCTAACCTGCTTCACTAATACAATAGCACAGTCACCCTTGCGCTTGCCTTCTCTATTGTTTCTCTGGTTTCTATTGTTTAGCCCCAGCCCCTTACTTTCAGTGACAGGGTGCATTATGGGACTGGTCAGTTTAAATTCACACTTGTAGTTGATTATGTATGGAGTAGTCGGTTCATCGCTGATATAATTGAGACAATTGTCACAGGTGTGTCCCTGTAAAGCAAATATCTGATGTTGTGACATCATAGGGCACAGTGCCATACACCTGGGCCGTTTTATTTTGTATTAAAACAACTGGCATCAACAAATCAACCTGCGTTTGGTGATTCATTCACATAAACCACTCCGGTTACATTGTCACGGAATATTACTTTCCTTCTGGAAAGTAAGCTCTCTGAATATAAATATTGTTGGCTACAAGACTGGAGTTAGGGTTTCTAAAACGGATGTCACTACTTGTCACGAAAAAACACATGATTGTAAACCTTAACAAAATGTAGATTTACATTTAACTCACAGTTTGTATTTTGAATGTCTTGATTTTTAATAAATTTTATATTTGGGATAACACTTTCTCAGTAAAGTACAGATTCTTTTGGTTGAGTCCCATCCGGGATTCGAACCCACACTGCCAGACTGAGGTACCTACTCGACAGCACACAAAGTCACCAATCTAACCCACTCCGCCACCGAGGCTTCCACAAAAGTAAAATCGACAGTGGTAGTCTAGAGCACGTACTGTGTGAAGTCCTCTGACAAGCGTAGATTTCTATTTAATTATAGATGTTTTCCCTTTTAAACAATACGTCTGCAACAAACAAAATACAATACTAAAAATTAAATATTGATAAAAAGTTTAATTAAAAAGATACTTTTTTTTCCAGATGTGTTCATGCAAACTTGGGAAGATGAGAAAATTTATGCTTCGGGTTTTCTTAAATTACATGTGTGTCTAAAATTCATGTAGGAAACAGGAACTGCTACCGTCTTTAAGATACCATGCCGTCCTGCGTTCCGTCGTCTAAGTTGTCACAAAATGGTTTTGTGGCATCATATACGTCACCATGAAGTTTTTTGTTCACACGTTTATGTTACCAATAACATTCTTTGGCATCACCTAGGTTACCCTGACATCTTCTGTTCCAGCGTCATGGTTACGATGAGAGTCTTCGTTGTTCTGCTGAGCCTTTGGGTATTAACGGTAGCAGAGAGAAGGCTCATTATTGGAGATAGTAAGGATTTGCTTTGGAGTGTTGCTTTAGTACGATCCTGATAGTAAGGAGATGCATGTTCTTCAAATTCCCATTTATAAGAGAGGCACGAGGGAATCGCTCCTCAAAGGCACCACAATTCGCTGTGCAGAGTTGCGTCCCTTTGCATGCCAGGAACCGTTTACAGATTCGCTCTGAATATGTTTCTATGTTTGTCAGCACCACACACGTGCTTCTGAGTTTCACCAACGTGGTAAACGTCTAAGACCTGCATCACGCCGTGATATAACTGGAATACTGTTCAAAGCGGCCCTATCCGAGAAGATCCGGGGTGGAATAGGTCTTCAGCAATCCATGCTTCCCGTAAAAGGCGACTATGCTTGTCGTAAGAGGCGACCAACGGGATCGGGCGGTCAGGCTCGCTGACTTGGTTGATACATTTTATCGTATCCCAATTGCATGGATCGATGCTCATGATGTCAATCACTGTATTGTCTGGTCCAGTCTCGATTATTTACAGACCGCCGCCATATAGCTGGAATATTTCTGAGTGCGGCGTTAAACAACAAACAAACAAACAAAACAAACAAACACAATCGTAACATGTGATTCCCAGCGTACGGGAAGGTAGGAGTTATAACGAACGTCTTCATTTCAGTGACCAAGTTCCAGGTAACCATAGCGACGGGCAGCATATCTCATGCCGGCACCCACTCCCACGTGTTCTTGGCAATGACAGGGGATGGAGGCGTGACGAATGACGTGAATCTCAATGCAGAAAACAAGCACATGTTCAGACAAGGACAGTTAGTACATTTCAAAATAGCTAGAGCCTACACTGGTCGAAGGGGGCGACAAAGTGGATTATGTGGTCAGGCTCAGCAACGTGGTTGATGGTGCGTGTCAGCGTACCAACTACGTGGGTCCATGTTGATAGCAATCACTGTTTATTACAAACTGAAGTATTGCAGGTCTGGGCCTCATAGCTGGAATATTGCTGAGTGCGTCGTTAAACAATCAGCAATCAGCAAAGTCACCGAGCCAGACGACACGATCTCTTTAGTCGCCTCTAACTACCATACTGGATTTTGACCTACCCTAAGCCGGAATCACCCGACCCGTGAAGATCCGGGGTAGAATAGATCTTTAGCAAACCATGCTTGTTGTAAAACGCAACTGTGGTTGTCGTAAGAGGCGACTAACGGGATCGGGTGGTCAGGCTCGCTGACTTGGTTGAAGCATGTCATCGATCCCAATTGCGTGGATCGATCATCATGATGTCAATCACTGTATTGTCTGGTCCAGACTCGATTATTTACAGACCTCCGTCATAAAGCTGGAATATTGCTTGGTGCGGCGTAAAACAACCAACCAACCAACCGGAATGACCTCGAATCCCAACGGGATCCCGGAATATTCGCAGAGTATATATAGCTCATTATAACATGGGGTTGTGTTGCAGCCGTGAGATAAAAGCGTTGGTTCACAATTTTTTTTTAAATCAGACCTGTTACTCTGATGCTTGGCGAGTATGGGGGATTTCAGTCATGTGAAGGCGCGTCAATATTTCGTTCCACAGGGACATAATATTTTCAGATGAATACAAGTTTAGACTCATAAATAGTATGAAATACAAGTTAGTGACTGGGAGTGTTGATAGAAGTTGGCAATCTTACAGACACCTGAATTCAGGGTGGTGGAGCAGCTTTGTCGATAAAGCGTTCGCTCGTCGCGCCGGAGACCTGGGTTTGATTCCCTACATCGGTACAATGCATGAAGCCCATTCCTGGTGTCCCACGTCGTGATATTTCTGGGATGTTACTGAAACGACGTAAAACAATACTCACTCAACCACTCACAAGCGGCCCGCAACACAACTCAAATCAGTGGTCGATGGTTTTAGCAAACATCACGGGATCGGAGCACGAGGAATCCGACTCGGTGTATGAGGCAATCTTTGACATCCACAGTGACCACCCGGTACCCCTTTAGTCGGCTCTTAGTACATACACAGGGTACCGACATCCAATCCTGACCCGGAATGCACAAGTACATTTCGCGTAAAAGGAAAATGTCGCCTACTTGTATCAATCTTGGTTTTGTCTTATATCAATCGTGTGTTCTGTCTTATATCAATCATGTGTTCCGTCATACATCAATCGTGTGTTCTGTCTTATATCAATCATGTGTTCCGTCATGCATCAATCGTGTGTTCTATCTTGTACAAATCGTGTGTTCTATCTTGTACTGACCGTTTGTTCCGTCCTGTACTGACTGTGTTCTATCCTGCACTGACCGTTTGTTCCATCCGTTGCAGAGTGGACAAAGTGGAAGTGTTCGCGCCCTCTGTCGGCCACTTACGAAGTATCCGTATCCGCCATGACACTCATGGAGACGACCCCAGCTGGTACATCGAGACGGTAGGGCCTGTATACAATAATCTATCGTCGTCTGATTGACGGTATCACCGAAAGCCTCACAGTCCCATTTGTACGTTGCACGGTCTATTTTATACTTTTATGTCGAAACTCTTGGTATGTCGACATAGGTCGTCTGGCTTTGCGTACCTAGCACGTGGTTTGGGATAACGAGGGCCCACTGTGTGAGATGTGAGGTAATTATTGTTCCCTTTATGAGATGTGAGCGAATGATTGTCCACCATATGTGAAATGAGATAATCTTTGTCAACGATGTGAGATATGCAATAAAAAATGTCCACTATGTGAGATAATGGTTGTTTGAGATATGAGATAATGGTTGTCTACAATGCGAGATATGAGATAACAAGAGTTCACTGTGCGAAATATGAGATAGCGAGTGACTACTGTGTGAGATATCCGATACCGAGTGTCCACTGTGTGAGATCTAAGATAACCTGTGACTACTGTGTGAGATATCCGATACCGATTGTGCACTGCGTGAGATCTAAGATAACCTGTGACTACTGTGTGAGATATCCGATACCGATTCTCCACTGTGTGAGATCTAAGATAACATGTGACTACTGTGTGGGATCTATGATAACATGTGACTACTGTGTGAGATCTATGATAACCTGTGACTACTGTGTGGGATCTATGAAGACATGTGACTACTGTGTGAGATCTATGATAACCTGTGACTACTTTGTGAGATTTATGATAACCTGTGACTACTGTGTGGGATCTATGATAACATGTGACTACTGTGTGAGATCTATGATAACATGTGACTACTGTGTGAGATCTATGATAACCTGTGACTACTGTGTGGGATCTATGAAGACATGTGACTACTGTGTGAGATCTATGATAACCTGTGACTACTTTGTGAGATTTATGATAACCTGTGACTACTGTGTGGGATCTATGATAACATGTGACTACTGTGTGAGATCTATGATAACATGTGACTACTGTGTGAGATCTATGATAACATGTGACTACTGTGTGAGATCTATGATAACCTGTGACTACTGTGTGAGATCTATGATAACATGTGACTACTGTGTGAGATCTATGATAACATGTGATTACTGTGTGAGATCTATGATAACCTGTGACTACTGTGTGAGATCTATGATAACATGTGACTACTGTGTGAGATCTATGATAACATGTGACTACTGTGTGGGATCTAAGATAACCTGTGACTACTGTGTTAGATCTATGATAACCTGTGACTACTGTGTGGGATGTAAGATAACCTGTGACTACTGTGTGAGATCTATGATAACATGTGACTACTGTGTGAGATCTATGATAACATGTGACTACTGTGTGGGATCTAAGATAACCTGTGACTACTGTGTGAGATCTATGATAACCTGTGACTACTGTGTGGGATGTGAGATAACCTGTGACTACTGTGTGAGATCTATGATAACATGTGACTACTGTGTGAGATCTATGATAATATGTGACTACTGTGTGGGATCTAAGATAACCTGTGACTACTGTGTGAGATCTATGATAACCTGTGACTACTGTGTGGGATGTAAGATAACCTATGACTACTGTGTGAGATCTATGATAACATGTGACTACTGTGTGAGATCTATGATAACATGTGACTACTGTGTGGGATCTAAGATAACCTGTGACTACTGTGTGAGATCTATGATAACCTGTGACTACTGTGTGGGATGTAAGATAACCTGTGACTACTGTGTGAGATCTATGATAATCTGTGACTACTGTGTGAGATCTATGATAACTTGTGACTACTGTGTGAGATGACAGATAGTCTTAAGAAAGAGCTTATTGGTTGAAATGCACACAATGTATCCGTTTATACCCGTCTTACTGAAGTCTGTACATGTGTATTCGTGGATTTGCAAAGAAACTGAATATCCTTTACTTACTGTGAGCTGCATATGTCATCAATACGTCACATATGTCGACGTCGTTACGTATGAGGTCACACATGTAGAACACGTTATAATTGTAATGAAAAAACATATACAGTAAACTACGTTTATAACGAACTGACCAATATAACTAACTTATCTTTTAGTCCAGGTCATTTGTTGTATATATACTGTATATATGCTTACAACGAACTACGGTTATTACGAACTAAAAGTAGTGATTCCTTTGAGTTCGTTATAACCGTAGTTTACTGTATACATACAAAATACCACTCGCGACAAATTCACAATAGTAATAGGAACACATTGGGTGGTCCTTCTTCTTTTGAGTAGTGTATATGTATCTTCATTATGAGCTTACTCCTCGAGATGAGGACAACATAGGTATACCAGAAATAACCTCTACCCAAATCCAGGGGCGGTCGGGTAACCTAGTGGTTAAAGCGTTCGCTCGTCACGCCGAAGACCCGGGTTCGATTCCCGACATGGGTACAATGTGTGAAGCCCATTTCTGGTGTCCCCCGCCGCGATATTGCTGGAATATTGCTAAAAGCGGCGTAAAACCATACTCAGTCACTCACTCACTCTACTCACTCTACTCACTCACTCACTCTACTCACTCACTCACTCTACTCACTCACTCACTCACTCCAAATCCAGACAGGAGCTAGAGTCAATTTAATGTGAACAACCATACATTATTCTCACAAAACATTTCACATAATACATAAGACAGCTACTTGAGAAGATGTATGATCTCTGTTGCCAGATTACCATAGAGGATGGGGTTGGCGTGTACGAGTTCCCCTGTCACTGCTGGCTGTCCACGAAGCACGGAAGTGGATCACTGTCGACGACGGTGAAGCTGTATAAATACACACCACTTCCTCACAATGGCTGACCGACCAGAGGGACTAATCATGACTTCGTTGAAATCGACACTGTCTATTTTTTTCCTAATTGGGGGTTTATTATGAAGGACACATTCATGTTGATGTAAATATTCACCTACCGCTTACTAAATAATATAATACAGTCAATTATCAAAAGTTGGATCCTGTATTGGATTTTGAGGTTTTTGTTTACAGTGACATGTTCATATAGAAATGTAAACTGCCAGGCAAAAGAAAGTATTTATACACCCATGTTTGATGGTGGCTAAAAATAAAACAGACACGTTATGGTTTTTCGATGGTGATGTATTTCATACGGGTATCATGGTTGTGTTTTGGGCCGAAAGTTTTTAGTGACGTTTTGATAACGTTTGTAATTGTTTGGTCAAAGCCAATTTACAAGTGTATTTTTTCTTTTGCACGTCAGTTTGGAATACACACTTATTTCCATGTGTGAACATGTCCTGATTGTGTTAAACGTTGATATCATATAACAGTTGGTGGTTAATAAAGAAATATGTTTGAAGTCGGTGCAAAGTTTATAAAAAAAATATGTTTTGTAATATTTCAAGATAAGATACTACTGAAAGTGGACAGGCTTTATTTGCCAAACATTCATTTGTGTTACTTAAATTTGTCTCTGAATATGGCTTAAGTTTTATTACCGTAACTTGTTCCCCGTCTCTATATATCACAAAGCTTCCACAGCGCAAATACAACCAGGGACCAGTCTATTTAGGGGAGGTAGAGGCTCATTGCGGCGCCTGTCGCTTTCATTTCTCAATGATGCGGGGTTGGCAGACAAATGTATCGACTCAACTCCGTGACGCTAATAATGCCAGGTTAATCACACTTCAAACACTTGCTTGATAACGGTGTTAGAACCTACACGGAAACACTTGCTTGATAACGGTGTTAGAATCTACACCGAAACACTTGCTTGATAACGGTGTTAGAATCTACGCGGAAACACTTGCTTGATAACGGTGTTAGAATCAACACGGAAACACTTGCTTGATAACGGTGTTGGAATCTACACTGAAACACTTGCTTGATAACGGTGTTGGAACCTACACCGAAACACTTGCTTGATAACGGTGTCGGAACCTACACCGAAACACTTGCTTGATAACGGTGTTGGAACCTACACCGAAACACTTGCTTGATAACGGTGTTGGAACCTACACCGAAACACTTACTTGATAACGGTGTTGGAACCTACACCGAAACACTTGCTTGATAACGGTGTTGGAACCTACACCGAAACACTTGCTTGATAAGGGTGTTGGAACCTACACCGAAACACTTGCTTGATAACGGTGTTGGAACCTACACCGAAACACTTGCTTGATAACGGTGTTGGAACCTACACCGAAACACTTGCTTGATAACGGTGTTAGAACCTACACCGAAACACTTGCTTGATAACGGTGTTAGAATTTACACCGAAACACTTGCTTGATAACGGTGTTAGAATCTACATGGAAACACTTGCTTGATAACGGTGTCGGAACCTACACCGAAACACTTGCTTGATAAGGGTGTTGGAACCTACACCGAAACACTTGCTTGATAACGGTGTTGGAACCTACACCAAAACACTTGCTTGATAACGGTGTTGGAACCTACACCGAAACACTTGCTTGATAACGGTGTTGGAACCTACACCGAAACACTTGCTTGATAACGGTGTTAGAACCTACACCGAAACACTTGCTTGATAACGGTGTCGGAACCTACACCGAAACACTTGCTTGATAACGGTGTTAGAACCTACACCGAAACACTTGCTTGATAACGGTGTTAGAACCTACACCGAAACACTTGCTTGATAACGGTGTTGGAACCTACACCGAAACACTTACTTGATAACGGTGTTGGAACCTACACCGAAACACTTGCTTGATAACGGTGTTAGAACCTACACCGAAACACTTGCTTGATAACGGTGTTGGAACCTACACCAAAACACTTGCTTGATAACGGTGTTGGAACCTACACCGAAACACTTGCTTGATAACGGTGTTGGAACCTACACCGAAACACTTGCTTGATAACGGTGTTAGAACCTACACCGAAACACTTGCTTGATAACGGTGTCGGAACCTACACCGAAACACTTGCTTGATAAGGGTGTTGGAACCTACACCGAAACACTTGCTTGATAACGGTGTTAGAACCTACACCGAAACACTTGCTTGATAACGGTGTTGGAACCTACACCGAAACACTTGCTTGATAACGGTGTTGGAACCTACACCGAAACACTTGCTTGATAACGGTGTTAGAACCTACACCGAAACACTTGCTTGATAACGGTGTTAGAACCTACACCGAAACACTTGCTTGATAACGGTGTTGGAACCTACACCGAAACACTTGCTTGATAACGGTGTTGGAACCTACACCGAAACACTTGCTTGATAACGGTGTTGGAACCTACACCGAAACACTTGCTTGATAAGGGTGTTGAAACCTACACCGAAACACTTGCTTGATAACGGTGTTAGAACCTACACCGAAACACTTGCTTGATAACGGTGTCGGAACCTACACCGAAACACTTGCTTGATAAGGGTGTTGGAACCTACACCGAAACACTTGCTTGATAACGGTGTTAGAACCTACACCGAAACACTTGCTTGATAACGGTGTTGGAACCTACACCGAAACACTTGCTTGATAACAGTGTCGGAACCTACACCGAAACACTTGCTTGATAAGGGTGTTGGAACCTACACCGAAACACTTGCTTGATAACGGTGTTGGAACCTACACCGAAACACTTGCTTGATAACGGTGTTGGAACCTACACCGAAACACTTGCTTGATAACGGTGTTGGAACCTACACCGAAACACTTGCTTGATAAGGGTGTTGGAACCTACACCGAAACACTTGCTTGATAACGGTGTTAGAACCTACACCGAAACACTTGCTTGATAACGGTGTCGGAACCTACACCGAAACACTTGCTTGATAACGGTGTTAGAACCTACACCGAAACACTTGCTTGATAACGGTGTTAGAACCTACACCGAAACACTTGCTTGATAACGGTGTTGGAACCTACACCGAAACACTTGCTTGATAACGGTGTTGGAACCTACACCGAAACACTTGCTTGATAACGGTGTTAGAACCTACACCGAAACACTTGCTTGATAACGGTGTTGGAACCTACACCGAAACACTTGCTTGATAACAGTGTCGGAACCTACACCGAAACACTTGCTTGATAAGGGTGTTGGAACCTACACCGAAACACTTGCTTGATAACGGTGTTGGAACCTACACCGAAACACTTGCTTGATAACAGTGTCGGAACCTACACCGAAACACTTGCTTGATAACGGTGTTGGAACCTACACCGAAACACTTGCTTGATAATGGTGTTGGAACCTACACCGAAACACTTGCTTGATAACGGTGTTGGAACCTACACCGAAACACTTACTTGATAACGGTGTTGGAACCTACACCGAAACACTTGCTTGATAACGGTGTTGGAACCTACACCGAAACACTTACTTGATAACGGTGTTGGAACCTACACCGAAACACTTGCTTGATAACGGTGTTGGAACCTACACCGAAACACTTGCTTGATAACAGTGTTAGAACCTACACCGAAACACTTGCTTGATAACGGTGTTGGAACCTACACCGAAACACTTACTTGATAACGGTGTTGGAACCTACACCGAAACACTTACTTGATAACGGTGTTGGAACCTACACCGAAACACTTGCTTGATAACGGTGTTGGAACCTACACCGAAACACTTACTTGATAACGGTGTTGGAACCTACACCGAAACACTTGCTTGATAACGGTGTTGGAACCTACACCGAAACACTTGCTTGATAACAGTGTTAGAACCTACACCGAAACACTTGCTTGATAACGGTGTTGGAACCTACACCGAAACACTTGCTTGATAACAGTGTCGGAACCTACACCGAAACACTTGCTTGATAACGGTGTCGGAACCTACACCGAAACACTTGCTTGATAACGGTGTCGGAACCTACAACGAAACACTTGCTTGATAACGGTGTCGGAACCTACACCGAAACACTTGCTTGATAACAGTGTTAGAACCTACACCGAAACACTTGCTTGATAACAGTGTTGGAACCTACACCGAAACACTTGCTTGATAACAGTGTCGGAACCTACACCGAAACACTTGCTTGATAACGGTGTTAGAACCTACACGGAAACACTTGCTTGATAACAGTGTTGGAACCTACACCGAAACACTTGCTTGATAACAGTGTTAGAACCTACACCGAAACACTTGCTTGATAACAGTGTTGGAACCTACACCGAAACACTTGCTTGATAACGGTGTTGGAACCTACACCGAAACACTTGCTTGATAACGGTGTTAGAATCTACACCGAAACACTTGCTTGATAACGGTGTCGGAACCTACACCGAAACACTTGCTTGATAACGGTGTTAGAACCTACACCGAAACACTTGCTTGATAACGGTGTCGGAACCTACACCGAAACACTTGCTTGATAACGGTGTCGGAACCTACACCGAAACACTTGCTTGATAACGGTGTTAGAATCTACACCGAAACACTTGCTTGATAACGGTGTTGGAACCTACACCGAAACACTTGCTTGATAACGGTGTTAGAACCTACACCGAAACACTTGCTTGATAACAGTGTCGGAACCTACACCGAAACACTTGCTTGATAACGGTGTTGGAACCTACACCGAAACACTTGCTTGATAACGGTGTTGGAACCTACACCGAAACACTTGCTTGATAACGGTGTTAGAACCTACACGGAAACACTTGCTTGATAACAGTGTCGGAACCTACACCGAAACACTTGCTTGATAACAGTGTCGGAACCTACACCGAAACACTTGCTTGATAACAGTGTCGGAACCTACACCGAAACACTTGCTTGATAACAGTGTCGGAACCTACACCGAAACGTCGCTCTTAATTTTAATAAAGAAGATGTTCATCCATAAATTCTTATCCTTACTTAGTACTCCAACTTCTAAATACCTATCAAAGAAGCCAGTTTAGGATATTGGTTTAAAGTTTAAATTGAACATACACACGACATATTTCTCATATAAGAAAACGCAAAGGCATATGGGTCAAAGAAAAACAATGTCGCTACAATTGTGTTCGTTTGACTTTAATACACAGTGTTGAAATACGAAATACAGTCGGAATATCCGGAAAGTACCAAACGATTGAAGATTTATTCCCAGAAAGGGCATAGTCCTCTAATAACAAATCCAAAACTGATTCTGGCATTAGCTGCTTATCTTTTTTCATCCAGGGTACGTGGGTGGCACAGTCGTCTAAGGCGCCGCATAAGCTGTGCAGATTGGCGTCCTTTAGGCATGCCATAATCCGATAATCGTTGGTTCGAAACCAAGATTGGCCCTGGTTATGATAATTGGTTTGTCAGCATCACACTCGAAGGCTTCACCATAGGTGAGGTGACATGGGGTTGAACTCTGTGTTCAAAATTATTGA